CCCTCTTTGTTTCGTGACTAGGAAAGGGAAGCTTCATTGGATGGAACTTTATCTGATACGACACAATGGGTCGCTGGATTTGCATTGGTATGTTTTTTAGTCTTGTACTATCGGCATTTCCTTCAATTCCATCAAGCTACACACCTACGTCCTCCGGTGCATATTTCACTATTTGTTACGATTGTTCTATTGATGAATGCATCTATTGCATTATTTCCAGATGATACATCTGCATCTGGATCTGGTTACGAGGGTCTAGATCAATCTTCAGAGGGCCGGCTGGCCGATTGTCTAATAAATGATACAGAGATGCAATTAAGCCCTGATGATGTGTATGCTTCATTCAGCTTCACGATTATTCATTAACTTAACTAGGAAAAATGTGGCTTAATTCAATATGTTGAAAACAATAATCCATCTGGAACCGTTGCTATTCAGATTGATCTTAACAGGTATAGACAAATGTTCTAATATTTCAATTTTACCATTTTAATATTTAAACTTCTCTCATGTTCCTTTTGTTTTGTTATGTTCTTTTGGTATGTCATAACCAATTACTATAGAGTTGAAGAATGCCCAACCCAAGAATGGAGGTAGTATTGGTCAAGAGCAACCGACTCCTTGTCAAAATATAGGTTCGTCTAATTCCTAAAGGTTTTTTGTTTGTATCGTCCACCACAAATTAATATCATTTATGATCTTTAAAACTATATGATACATTGATACTTAGAAATGCCATTACTGTCGTACCATTATAGCAAACCCCATCAAAATAAAGAACCGCTTACCATTACCCTTTTTGATTGCCACATAGTTTTTACAAGATTCAGGTGTTATTTGTTAGCAGCTTAATGAGCTTAATAGGACTCGCAACTTATTCGGGCAGAATTATATAGAAATTGGCTTATTCAGTAAGCTTCTAGGAATGGGTTTTATGTAGATAGAAAACCAAGTTTTTTCCAAACTTATCTCTCCCAATTAAAAAATATGCTTCTTTCATCTATTAAAAAACTCTTTCAAATGAAAACCTTCTCAATCTATACAAACATATTAATCCACATGGATAATTTTATCCATACAAGACTTGATAGAAAACTTGGTATAAATGACATGAGTTGAAAGTTGGATAACCTCCATCGACATTTTTATAGTCAGGTGACTTGTTAATACTTTTGTGAAACTTTTTTTGGGGGGGGGGGGGGGGTCTCTATATATTAAACCAAATTCAAACAAGCAAAGGATGAACACAAAGTAATTTAGAAACTGATGGCAATGGAGAAGCTTTCAGGTAAACATACCAGAGGGGTCTATATTTATTCAAACAAATTGGTCAAGATTGTTGTTTCAGCACAAAAATGCATTGATAGATATGATAATATAATAAACCATATAAACAATTAAAACACTCCAACCAACAACTTTCACCTCCTTATTCTAATAAGCATCCTGCGTCAAATATATTTGACTGTTTAATTAATACACTACTCCAAGCTCGGAATTTGATTACTTGAGTACATGCATAACAGGTTATATACAAAGTTCAATTTGACATCACTTAAATACAGATTTCAGACAGAATGCCACTCACATATATGGGAACATAACAGCTATCGGCAGCAGAAAAGAGAAATGGGAATAGCATTCCAACATCTTTTTTAGGTTTACCAACAAAGATTCAGCATCCATTGTAACCCATAACTCTTCTTGCTGTACAATTGCAATTTAACATGTTCAGTGAGCCATATACTTATCAAAGTCATTAATGAAGTGCTTAGTATTAAGGTCTAGTAAGAGCTGAGGTACAAAAGCATAGAGCTGTTCAGGGACCCATAAACTTTAGTTGTGAAGTAAACTCTTGACTTATGGATCAATAGTTTTGCATTATTAGACTGATCCTCCTCTTAGTATATCAGGTCTGTATTCATCAGTTACTGATGTCTACAGAACATCCGAATAGTGGATGAGCTATCTAACACAGACATAACTGTAATTGCTCTTCCTCTCAATTCCTTGACCCTTACAAGATAATTTTCCAATCTTTCTCCCAAGTCCTTCTGTTTAACTGGACCTAAGTTTTGATCCTTCAGATTTATACCTCAAGCATATGTTATCGTTGCTTAAGTGGGTAAAATGAATAAATCTGTTTTTAGTAGTATATGCTTGAAATCTTAAAAGAAGAACCCGTGTTAAGCGTGACATGTTTTTATCGATAGTGTCTTTCTTGCCCATTAAGGCCAACAATGCACATTGTAATAAACTTACTGTTTTTCTCATGATGTTATTGGGTGTACAAAGTTCAACTTATTTGATAACATCCAATGCAGGATTCTTTGTTTTATGTTGAACGACCAGGCTTTGTTGAGTAACCAAGAGCAAATCTAGAACAAGTTCAATGTTTTGATGATAATTGGTTAGGTATTCCATGATGCCATATCAGTACAAGGGAATTGAAAGATACAGACCATTTTACAGAGTTGGACATGCTTCATTGTACTGTTTAGAATTGGTTTATCACTATATTTTTCTTGTTTTGACATAAACTACCACATTTTTTCCCATTAAACCCAAACCAACCCGCTAACAACTCAATAAAACCCAAACCGCCAAATCGTTAATTAGGAGGGTTGAAATTGGGTTAGCATAACACAACCCAACCCAAACCGTCAACCCGCCACTAATATATATATATATTTTTTAAATTATGTGTATGTGTGTATATATAGAGAGAGAGAGAGAAAGAGAGAGAGGAGATATGAGGAGGTTTACTTTGCAAACCACGTTATTTGTACAAACCCTACAAACCTCATTCATCCGATCATAATTTTTCATTTTCTCTATTTTTTTGTAATTATGAGAGGTTGATTAATCATTTTTAGGGGGTGTTTGGGATTGCTTATTTAAAACAACTTATGTTTTTTTTTTGTAAAAGTGTTTATTAACTTATGTGGTATCAAATTGGAGTTTTGTAAAAAGTGTTTGGATTAGTTTATAGCGGTACCAAACTGGAATAAGCTGATAAGTTGTTTTTTTTGTGTTTTGCAAATTTTGCATACAACTTTTGCATATAAATTTTGCTCTGTAAAATGACCAAAAAGGACAGTCTTACATATTATTGACTTATGGGAGTGTTTGGGATTGCTTATTAACTTATTTGATTTTTTAACATGTAAAAACTTATTTTTCATCATTTATAATAATATATTTGACAAAAATTTATATCAATAAGATTAATAATTTATATCAATAAGATTAACAATTAACAAACATTTATACCAATACCATTAATAATTTAAGACAAAAATAATAGATATGTACAACAAAAGAATATTAGATCGTCATTTATAATGTAATATTATTATAATCAAAATATCAATAACAAAAATAGATCGTCATTTATAATAAACATTTATCTGGATCAACCTATTGGATCTCCTGCAATCATATCTCTCACCGCACTCATATATAGATCATCACCCCTACGACGTGAACTTGTGTTTTCATGTGCTTCATTATTGCTACCACAACCTTCATCATCAACATCAATATGAGGGTTGTATGATTCTTGTTGCACCATGTCAAATGCTTCGTCAAAACTACCGTTCATCTTAATATAATTGTAAATTGCCATTGACGCTAGCACAATATTTCCTTGTGTCTCATAGGTGTGATTGACATGTATATCTTTTAGTATTTGCCACCTAGCTTTCCATACTCCAAAAGTTCGTTCAACAACATTCCTTAGTGATGAGTGATAATAGTTAAATGTCGTTTTTGCTCCTTTGGGAGCACGTATTGCTGTAATTTGTCCATGACGGAAACCAGGTATGTGATAACGAATATATGTTCATTTGTATGGAGCAAGATAACCTTTAGTATTTGGATATCCGACATCAACAACATAATACTTATCTGTTATGAAAAATAAACAAACTACTGTTATTCGTTTCAAATGGTTTGAAAACATAAAAGTTTGCCTTACTACAAAAAAAATACTAACCACCGATTGGATGTGGAAATTTAAGTTCAGTTCTGCGTAAGGCTTCAAAAAATATCCGTGTCATGTGTCCAGCCCATGCAAACGTAAAACACATATAAAATCACAAATTGCCATGATATTTTGCGTCGCATATCCTTTTCTACCAATGTATTTTGCTTGCTCATGCTCTCGAACCGATGCCCTTACGTGTGTCCCATCGATAGCACCAATRCAATCCTACACATATAAGTAAAATATAATATTAATCTATTAAAATGTTACGGTCAAATACAAAGCAAGATATAGGAAGTACCTTGAACATTGGATAATAACGAGAGTTATTTAAAATATGTGCGGTACATCTTCATTGTAATTTGCATTTGGTTTTATGATGTTCGTACTTAACTTAAGCACAACTTTCAAAACAACATGGAAATGCCTATGAATAGTCTCTCTAGAATGATTAAATGTTTCTTGAATTAACCTATTCCCACACCCATGTGCTAAAGTCATCAAGAAAATGCCAACAGACTTCTCAATACATATATTACGTGTTGGCTTTAACCCGTAACGTAGCAAGATCTGAACATAACATTTTGAATACTGGGACATGTAGTCTGAAATCTTCGTAGTATCGTCTAGGATGACCGTTAAGTACTTCATGAATAAATATGTTTCCTATGCAAGAAGATGTGCGGCAAGGCATATGCGTGCTATTCAATTTATGACTTATTATTATCCCTTTGATAGATATTGCACATGATAGTAGCCATCTGTCTCCTCTTCCACCCAATTTATTTCATTATCATCATTCGAATCAGAGTCATCATTATCCATCCTATTAATAGATAAAAAAATCAAACATATTAAAAACGCATATAAAAAGGATAGATAATATCAAATGCCATACATAATGTCAAACGTCATACATAATGTCAAACGATAATACAGGATACGAAACCAGTTGAAAACATAATATCATAATATTAAATAATAAAATGAAATGGGGAAAACACCATATGAATCATTCTTCCATAAGTAACTTAAAAAACTTCATCCTTGCCATGTGTGTCTTTGGAACCATAAAATTTTCACGGACTTGCTTTTTTAGGAAGATGCGTAATGCTTGGCTATACATCCTTGAACCTCCTTCAAATCCTGGAAAACATGTCACAATGTTCATGCATTCTTGTGTCGTTGGTGAGTACTTATTCCATGACGAAAAAGTTTGTGTGCTTCGTGATGATAGTGCCTCCAATACATTATCTAGTTTATCCTCAAATGAGGAAGTTATAGAAGATTTTCCCTTGGTTGAATGGGTAAGTGCGACATTATTTGGCTTCTTCCTTTTACTCGGACTACTTTGAGGGAAAAGATGTTTATTATCGTCGCCTAAATTCACTTCAGCACTATCTCCTTTCCCCTCATGATCTTCTTCATCTTCAATATTAGTTGGACAATTATTGTTTTGACATTCAACATGAGCCTTTAGTCTTACCTCCAATGGCAACGGAATCCCAAAATAAAGGCTCATAATACACTTGATAAATCTTCAAATTCAAGTCCCTAAACTTGGGAAGATCTTTATCGCCCTGTGTGTTAATGTCTCTTATTAGCAAATTTCACTAGGAAATCATGAAAAAGTAATAGAAAACAAAAGAATATATATAAAATAGTATTACCTTTATTTTTTCGTCCCACCATTCTGGTGATGCAACAATTGTCTTTCTCACGAGATCCCATCCAATGCCAGATTCAATCCTCATTAAACGATCATACAATTTCCATTCTTTCTTCATAGTGTCCCATTTGTTTTTAAGTTGCTTCTTGTCAAAAGATTTTCCTATTCGTTCCTTAATCTTCTTCTCTATGTTTCCCCACCCAAGCTTATTGAAGTGACTACCAGGTCTATTCCCATTTTTAACCTCATTCATGCACAAATCAATGAACACCATAAATGTAGTATTATCCCAAACAAGTTTTGGCTTATTCTTTTTCGATGTATCACTAGCAACAAAGTTAGCATTGTTCGCGTCCATTACCTGAATAACAAAGTTAATAAGAAGACCACTAATGTATCCATTTTTCATTATGTTGTATAAATTGGTGGCTGCAAAAAAAATCTGTTTGAACCATCTAAAATAAACTTGCTGGTCAATTATAAATACATAAGATGGGCTGCTAACAGAGTGAGGGCTATACATGTAGAATTAGAAGGTTTGGATGATGAATCTATCATATTGGTTCTTTCCTTTTGCACATATGCCATTTGTCTTAATGTTGTTACCCTGCCACACATCTAGAATTAAAACTAAATTTTACCCCTCAAAAGCATCATATCCTGGGAAAAGAATTCATGGTCTACATATGTAGTAATTCCAAACACCTCCATAAACTGTCTTTCTTCTTCATAATCCCAGCAAACATGGTTAAATGCATGTCCTATAAATGAGTTCCAATGGCAATCCTCTGGCATTGTATTCTCAAATTCTTTTTTAAAGGAAACAAAAGTAGATACATCTTAGGGGCTGTTTACTAAACGCTAATCCAGTAAGTGCTTACCGGGTAATTTTCTTTTTTGAATGAACATGGTAAGGGTTTAGAATCTTACTAGGTTAGAACGATAAAAGGATGGAGAGTCTTTCCCAGTAAGAGTGGTGAAAGGATGGAGAGTCTTTCCCGGTAAGAGTGGTGAAAGGATGGAGAGTCTTACCTAGTAAGTGAGAGTGAAGACGCTTACTCGGGTAAGCGCTTACCGGGTAAATTGTTGCATACTATATTGTTTTGATGCACTACAATTTTACCTAGAAAAATAAATTATATTATTGACTCATATTGGTAAGTACTTACCGGGTAAGCATTTGAGTGAACTGAGACAAGTTTTCGCTACTAGAAGAATCAATATACGTATATCTTGTACTTCCTCCGTATCATGAATTTTGCATAATTTTCCATCAAAATTATCACTTCTATCGTTATCATCATTGCAAACAAATTTATGACATTGGTTTGGGTCTGCAAGACTTTTTGTTTGCCTATTGACAGGTATTTTACATATTCCACAAATAATCGAATATTTGCAAAGTTAAACAATTCATTAAAGGTTAGGAGTATTTGAACTTGCTGCTTTATCGGACTGCTCAAGAAATATGAATGCAACCAATGATACCTACTCATGTTCTGGAAACACTTCAGAACTTTTTGAACAGAAGCCAAACTCTTTGAACTCAACCAAGGAGACACAGATGTCACACAACAGTTCAACACAATCACAAAGTATTGACAACACTTTGATATGTTTGAGGTATTCTTGGAAGTATCCTAGTGATGAAATCCTCTACAAAGAAATCATTGAGAAAAAGAGAACATTTAGATTTCTATTAGGGTTGAACAAAGAACTTGACCAAGTCAGAAGTATCATTGCCTTTGTTATCTGCCTCAGCAGTTTCGACACAAAACCAACATGCAAATGGCATGAGTCTTATTGTGAGTTATCAGGTCAGACTTATCAATGCATATAACACATGCATTCCACAAAAATTGAAGTAGAGATAAATCCACAGAAATTGATAAACCCACATAAATTGAAGTAGAGAGAAATCCACTTCACAGTAAGAAAAAAACAAACTAACAGATAACTATGGAACGGGGAAAATCGATCACTAACCTCAAAATACGTTATGCAGGAGAACAAATTCAACAGGGGAAGCTTTCGGCGATGATTAGACGGAAAGAAACCGAATGGAAGATCGATGATTTCTCACAGGTGGTAGGGAGGAATTTGGTTCGTATCTGTTGAGGAGAGATAAGAAAAAAAAAACAAACTAGCAGATAACTATAGAACGGGGAAGATCGATCACTAACCTCAATACGTTATGCAGGAGAACGAATCAGCAGGGGAAAACCAAAGGAAAGATCGATGATTTCTTTTCACAGGCGGTGGGGAGGGTTTGTTGATTTCTCATAAGCGGTGATTCTGTATCTGTTGAGGATAGGGTATAGAAAGGGTATTACAGGGTTAAAATGGTGACCGTTCATAAGTTGATTTTGATAAGTTAGCGAGGACTGACTTATCAAAAACTGCTTATTACCGGTTTGACACTAGTATAATCTGTTTTTTTTTTCGTCCAAACACTAGAATTAGCTTATCACCGGTACCAGACTGAAATAAGTCAATAAGCATGTTAAATAAGCAATCCCAAACCCCCCCTTATTATGGAGGGTGTTAATCATGAATATTATCATCTTCATTATATTAATTTTAGAGAAATACATGAAACAATTTCATTAAAATTTCAATTAGTATTATTTGAAACAATTTAATAATCATATATGAAACAATTTCATCAAGAAAGTATTATATGAAACAACTTCATAAGATTAAACAACTTTATGAAAAGATTTCATAAAAACAACGAAATTGACGGATGAGGGTGGTTTACATGGTTTGTACAAATAAGGATGGTTTGCATTTGACCGCTCCTCTCTCTGTATATATATATATATATATATATATATATATATATATATGTGTGTGTGTGTGTGTGTGTGTGTGTGTTTGTGTGTATGTGTGTGTGTATGTGTGTGTAATATTTACAAAATTAAATTTACAGCCCAAAAATATGTATATTTTTTTAGTCTAATGTACAACCCAAAAATTAAATACATGTATCACTTGTCCAATTTATAGCCCAAACTTAATCCGACTATTGTCTCGGTCAAGTCCAATAGGACCAATACTCCAATTCAATTCACTTATTCAGTTCTCAACTTCACGTTCTCCTATCGTCTACTCATCTAGCATCCCCAAATCTACAACTCGTGACTGCCGACTGTCGACTGAACTGTGGTTGTTGGCTTGATGCCAACCGAACTTGGTTGTTCGCTTACTGTCGACTGGACTGCTCTTGTTCTCGTCCCAAATTCGTACTCCCAGTTCTGCTTCTCGAGTTTCTGAATCCTTTTCTGCTTGCTACGTCTGGTATGTTATTTTTTCACACCCTTAGACTTATAAAAGAAACCACAAAGAAAGTATACAATATGGTCCAATGTCGTCTTTTCCAAGTAATAAAGTGGTAAAAACCAAATATCGTCCACGGAGATTGTAGCAAAGACTTAATAAGAGACCAATGAAAGAGATGATTTTAGATGATGAAATTGAAGACTTCAATTTGATTCTGAGTTAACAATGATAAAATAACAGAATATTAAAGGGTTGCATTGGTGTAAGAATTGTGGTGAAATGTAAACACAAATTCAACAAACAATGCTGTAGGAATGCTACAGCATGCAGTAAGCCATAACTAGTTTCACCATCTATTTTGAAGGTATTCCTCTCGGACCTCAGCATTAGACTATATTATAGCTTTTAACCCATATCTCTATGTTGTATCCTGACCAGGAATAGTGACAAAATGTTGTCTTCAAAATATATGGATAAAAAGATCACTTTGTTAAAAATCACTCTCTCGAGCCGATTCCCATATCATTCAAGTTGGCATGTGTTCTAGATGGTTCATCTCTGGATATACCGCACTTTGACACTTTTAGAGAGTGACCAACCTGGAGGGAGTTAATTTTGAAAGATATAAATGACAAGTCTCCTTGTCGGTGACTATCTCAAGTCTACCTCTTATATCATTCAAGTTGACATGCATTCAATGGCTTATCTCTAAGATCATGGTACTTTAACACTTTCAAAGTGATCAACTCGTTAAGAAGTGTACTTGGTTTTGATAAAAACTTGAATGAAATAGTGGAACATTGTTATTGCGAAACAATGTTCACTTTCCTTCGGTTTAACATTTCACCCTTTGTTTTACACCTAAGCTAATATATTAGCTACTCGTTGACGGTTGATCTTTACAATGCCTTGAATGGCAAATCAAAAGCAGAAAAGCTTAATCTTGATCTTCAAGAACAGTTGAAGATTTGTCATTCTAAGATCAAGGAACTGACCAACATCAAGGAAGATTTTAAGAATCAGGTTATCGTAAACCAGACCATCACTATCGAGCGTGAGTAGGCTATAGCTGAGCATGAGCAAGCTATTGCTGAACTCAAAACTAAGACGGCTACATTGAAGGGTGGTGCAAAACCTCTGTTAAGGCGTCTGAGATCATCAACGCTCAAATTCTCACCAAGATTAAGATTGGTCCAGGCTTCTCCTATGATCAGGAACATAGTGTCACTGACAGGTCCATGCTGAAGGTTGGTACCTTCGTCTCTTCTATTCTTGACACTTCTTCTTCTCAGTCTTCTATCACCGAGAGTCATCTTGAAGGAACTTCTTTGAGTTCAAGTCGCAAAGACAAAGGTAAATCCATTGTCAAAGCACCTCTTCCCAAGAAGGCTGACAAGTCACATAGATCAAGATCTATTCCTTCAACTTGTGCACCTTCTTCTTCTTCTTCTTCTTCTGGGATCAAGATATCTGAATCTTCTGAGAAATGTAAGTCTAAGCTCAAGGTGAATGTTTCACCTAAGGACTCAAAATCCTCAGTTGATTTTTTGTAACCTTTGGAGGAAACGGAAAAGGATATACCAAAGGTTTTGGTGTATTAACCAACGGTGCAACTACTTTCAAACGTGTTGCATATGTTGAAGGACTGAAGCACAATCTTCTTAGCATCAGTTAGTTGTGTCATAAAGATTTCACAGTAAAATTTCCTAAAAATTCATGCTACGTCTTTGACAAAGATGATAAGGTTGCTCTAACCAGTTCTCGCCTAGAGAATGTATATATCATCAACATGGATTCTCCTCTTACTGAGAACAGTTGTTTTCTCTCAAAAGCTTCGTCAGATATCAACTGGCTGTGGCACAAACGACTTTCTCATTTCAATTTCAAGACACTTACTGAGCTGTCTCGAAATGATCTCGTCAATGGTCTTCCTCAACACACCTTTGCAAATGAATCTCTTTGCTCAGTGTGTGTAAAAAGGAAAACAAACAAGAGCTAGCTTCAAGTCTAAGCAAATCTCTTCAGTGACCTCTCCATTTCAGCTATTGCACATGGATCTCTTTGTTCTAGTCAATGTACAATCTATAGCTAGAAAGAAATATATACTTGTCATTGTTGATGAGTAGTCCAAGTACACTTGGGTCTTCTTTCTCAGATCCAAAAGTGAAGCACCTGAAGAAATTATCTCGTTCATCAAAAGCATAGAAGTACTTAACAATATTAAAGTACGATCTATCAGAAGTGACCATGGAACTGAATTCAAAAACAGTACTATGGATAGCTTCTGTGATCCCAGATCTCTCAATAACACGAAGATTTAAGTTATGAAGAACCTAAATCTGTCGTATGGATGAATAATAGTGAAGAACAACTTAATAAATATTCAAGAGAATTATGAAGCGTCAAATGATTCACTACTATTGATGAGAAGGAACGACAATGATTACAAGGAATATAAAAGCTATTTATACTAGTAATCTAATTTAGGAGATAACTATCTAGGGAAAAGATAACTATAAGATATTCGAAAAAAAGATATCTGTGATGTCCAAATTCTCATACAAACATGATAATGATCTTCAAGAATAAGATGAATGAGAGAATACAGAGAGTAGATCACCAAATGTATCTTGATTGATTGAGAAAGAGAATTACAGCTCTAATTCTGATCATAAAATGATTAATGAGATTGCTAATTACAATTACAAAGGAAACTACTATTTATACTAAGGAAGGAATAAAGCTATTCTATTACAAAACATGTAAAATATGGAGAACTTGAATACAACAATAACGCACATACTTGAACCCAACAATATCAATCTAGAATTATAGAAATTATCTCGATCTATTTGGAGCAATAGAAATCCAACTGCCGATTAGTCATCTCCAGCTGTCTTCTAGGAGGCGTGTTCAATCAAGTCTTTATGAATCTTCTTGCTTGGACATCTATGATTGAACCATTGTTTAATACTCTAAGTGTTGATGACCAGAGGGGTGATGGAGATGCATTGTTCATCGTACCAATGGATCCTTCATCGCATCTCTTGTTGGCCTTGACACTTAGGATTTCTTCAAGCCTTTCTTCCATCGGCCCTCTGCACTTCCATACTTGTATATTTTTCATTACTTTTTTACAGTAAGAGTTATAGGGTCTAACAATCTCCCCTAAGTAATGAAAAACTAAACAAAGACTAGTCTTTGAATATGAATGAATTGTAAAGAACATAGACTAATCTAGTAGAAACATCCTTTTGCCAAAAGTTTTTCATTGTTTTGAAAAGTTGGATCGTTTCCTACAATACGAAAGTACATATTAAAATAAAATACATCAATCATGGTCTCCACTAAATTTTTTCCAAAATCGCCTCATCAATCCTCTATAGCAGATGACTGTGGAGATACCATGAATCAATTCTTGACCCTCCTTCATCGGCACATGCTCTCTGCCCACTCTCTCCCGTATGACTTTCTGAAACCATTCAAGTGTATTGGTTGAATACTTGAAGGCCTTAGTTAGTCTGAAGTATTTTTTGGTTCCATGCTCGTTCTTGAAGACCCAGCCGAGTTCTGGTTGAGTTAGGACATAAGCAGAGCTTGTCTCCTGTAGTCCTGGAAATTCTTCATTTGGAGGTGTGAAGGATAATCTTTCGATGCCTAGTTCCAGAGCTATTTGGAAGTCATTCTTAGCTCTAAACTTCACCAAGGTCCCCATCGTCTCTATAATCGTTCGATTGGCCATTCCGTACCTTATCCCTTGATCATGCCTCAGAGTTATGTAGCCATACAAATCGATCAAGTCCTATGGATTAAGATTTATGAGATCATTGTCGTTGAAAATGCTGATCATCCCATGTGTGCGTTCCATGATGTACTCAATGTATTTGATGGCTTTGTTCGCGAAGGTCCGCAGCTTGATGTCGAGGACTGTCTTGATTCCATCATTTGAGAAGATGGCTTGTGGTGAAGATGTTGTTTGTCTCATGAATCTATGACGAAGCAGGTCCATCGACTCGGTTCATAGGTTGGGAGGATTGAGAACTAGCTATTCATCGCGATCGTGATAGAGATATTGATGGATATTTCCCATCATAACAGGTTCCTTTGGTGGCACCGGCAGACGTCGACTCAACGTTTCCATATGGGCGACTATTTCTTCGACTCTAGCGATTGTTGGAGGTGGCCTTGATGAGGAGGGTAAATCTGTGAGCACCTTCTGGGTTGGTTGGGTGACAGGTGGTTGTGTTTGGGTAAAGGGAGGTTCTGGTTGTATGGTAGAGGGTTCTAGTTGGGATGAGGTTTATGGTTGTATGGGTTCTGTTTGGGTGGGTTTTGGTTGAGTAGGCTCTGGTTGAGTAATGGAGGGTTCTGGTTGAGTGATGAAGGGTTCTGGTTGAGTGGTGGGTTTTGGTTGTGGTGGTGATGGAGGAGGTGTTGGTGATGGGGTAAAATGAGTAACTGGTTCTTGTGGGGTAGAGAGTTGTGTTCAGAGGAAGATGAAGAAGTCACCAAAATTGGTGAGAACTAATTGGTTGTTGGTGGTTGGTTTTGGGTGCAAGCAGAGGGAACATGTACATTATGTACATCATCAGAGGGCTGAGCCTCTGGTTCCCTCGCCTCGGTTTGATTGGAGGGTTGGTTGGTTGGTTGTTGATCATGTGGTGGTGGTGGTGCTGCAGTTTCTATTGGGGAGCTGGAAGGGTTCTCCCCCTCATGAGGACCAAGACCATGATCATCCTGGTCTGGATCTTCATGCCTAGGCCTTTTAAGGGGGCGGCTGGAGGAGCAAAAGGCTCTGTTCCTCTTCTTCTTGGAGCGTAGTTGGTCGAGGTACTTCCTCATGGCATCTCTCCATCGTGCTCATTCCATTTAGAGGAGGAGGGAGTATGTACGCTCTTGTTGTCGATCGAGGCTCTTGGTGAGGGCCTTGGTGGGCTCCGTAGCTCTTGATGCAAAACGAGCACTTATCTAATTGAAGTTTGAGATTAAGACCTTAGTGAGACCACGGAGGTCTGCTCGCGTGACCATATCTGTAGGGGTGGAGGTGGAGGTTGAGGAGGGTGGAGGTATGGTGATGGAAGAAATAAGGGTGTGTACCTTTGCAGCAAAGGCATTGAAGGCTTCATCGGTTGTGAGTGCTGCAGAGGGAGGTGGAGGAGGGGGTGTTTGAGGTAAATTGGCAACTATGGTGGTGGGGAGGGTGGCGATGGAGTTGGTGAGGTTGTTTACTTGGGTGGCGAGGGTGGCAAGGGATGCATCGGTTGCTGTGATTTGTGCCGTGAGGGCGGCTGGGGTGGTGGTGATGGATTCATGCCTGGTGGTCATGAGATTGTGTGAAAATTGTGTTGGCCGACCACCAGTTGTTGAAAGGATTGGATGCGAGTGGTGTTGTCCCTTGATTGAGCTTCGAGGGACGCAAAGGATTGCTGAATCGATGAAAGATCGATGGTGGGGGAGGATTTAGCAATCCTTGCCAAGTTGAGTTTAAGGTCTTCCAAGGACCGCTGTGCCGAGTCAGCAAAGGCCTGGAACTCGGCCTTTGTGACCAAATCTATAAGTGGGGTAACCCCTACAGCAACAAATGTTGTAGATTGAGCCTCTGTTCCATAGGCGCCTCCATCGATGCCTTGTGGAGAGAGAGGCATGTGAGGACTTCCATCACGTCCTTGATAGCCCTCAAGAGAGGAACTATCTCGTAATGTTACTACATTTATCTCTTCCTCATCAGATTCAGAGTCCGGTGAGGAGAAGTAAATGTATTTCACCATTGCTCGACTAAGAATCGATGGGGTACGTGCTTGAAAGGGCGATCGCTCTCAACGATCGATGGGGATATCAAAGTCAGAAGCAACAAATGCTTCTGTATGTGAGGGGAGTGGCGAGCAATGAAGAGAAGTGGCTCTTATGTCTTCATCACCTCTCTGTTAGGAGAGAGGTGATGGATGGTGGGGTTCCTCAGTTGTTTCATCTGCAGAGACCCGAAGAATAATCTCTAGATGGCAAGGTTAGGTAAGGATTGGACTGGGTGGTCCATCTCCAATACCCCTTTGGCCTTGGTTGCCAGGGGTAGATGATGTGGTTGCCCGGGGTTGGGGTGATGGAATTGAAGTGGGCATAGGGCCGAGGGAGGTAGGAGGAGTGTCATCATCATCGGATTCATCATCCGATGAACTCCTCTTTGCTTGTGATCCCTCGCTAGTGTCAAGGGAGGGCTCTATGTGCTCCGGGGTAGCTGGCCTCGGTTGTTGGGCTAGCAGAGAGTTTTTGTAAGACCTACGGCAGGCGGATATGTCTGGAATGACACTAAGCATGGCCCTTGACAAGGGCCTCTCCGCGAGGTTATCATCTTTGGAGATGGTTGGGCGATGACCATTCATGGCGTATTGAGGAGTGAATGGTTCATCGCAGGGCAGCTTGTGTGCCTTCATTGCGTCCTTGATGAAGAGGGCAAGGAAGCGAGGGAAGAGCACCGATGTAACTGGCTTCCTTGCTGCAATAAGCTTGTTCTTCTTCACCATTGCAGCATAGATCTCATTGTAGATGAGGAGAGCATAGTCCAGAGGCAAGTTAAAGAAGAGACCATACGTGATGGTCATGATGTTGATGTTGCCCTGGTCCATGCTCCCAAGTTCACAAGTCAGGGCTCTATTGAGGATGCTGAAGAAGACATTCCACATGGGTGGAAGAAACTGCCTCTTGAAGTCGGAGGCAATTCGGAGTTCCCTGTTGTAGCCCAACATTCTAATAAAGCACAAAATGTCGTGGCTAGTTGGCGGTTCCGCGTATTGGGCAATCCCGAGCTCCTGTCGGGTGGGGATGAATAGTACCTTTGAGATCTTGGCTCGTGAGATCTTGATCGAGCACATCATGTCGTTGGGGACATCGAGGTCACCCATGATCCCACGGTTCTCCGGGTATAAATTACAAGTTTGCCAATATTGTTGTACATATTTCACCGGCACCTCGTTGTCGGAGAGAGTGAGGGTCGGTTGGAGGATGCAATTCTGGAAGAACTCTATCAAGATTGCAAACCTGTCTTCGAATAGTTGGGGGCGGAGATCGATGGCATGGTTGTTTGGCTTTATCGGGAGGAAGACAATTGCTCGGCTGTTCGTGCCGGTTGATTGAACGTGGCTGTCATTGTTGTTGGATTCATGAGAGGCGGAAGACACTATTGTTGCATGTCAAAAAGTTGCAGGTTTTTCTTGCTGTGTAAGTTCTTGAGAGAGTTATGTGAGCGTAAAAGGTAAGTGGGTTGGGGATGACGGATATTTATAGTGAGAGGGAGAGGAGAGGTTGGTTTTAAAAATAATATTTAAATAATTATGGGGTAATGATGGTGGGAGACATTTGGGAAAAAGGTGAATTGATGTGTGATCGTGAGCCGTAAAGACTGCTCACGATCATGATGGTGCAGGTGTGGTAGGACACGTGTCAACGTGGGGTGGGTTGGAAGGTAATGTGAAGGTTTTCTAGGGAACATACTTTTGGTGGGTGTCAGGCGCCTTAGGTTTGGCGTTTGGGTGATTTAGGAATAATCATTAAAAAATATTTATCCCTAAGGATAATTCTCAAGAAAATAATCCCAAAAAATTAAATTTAAAATTCCATCTTTATTGGAAGATAAATACAAATTATGAAGTTTTGATCTTCTAAAAACCCACGTTGTATGATTTTTAGTCACAAAAGATGCAATATTATATAATCTTAAAAAGGTTTTCAATTAAAGATGGGTTTTTGGGAAAATTGGTTTTGTCATGGAACCAGAGGTGCTCTGGTTGGTCATGACATTTGGGGGGGGGGGAACCAGAGGGTCTCTGGTTGGGTGTGATGAACAAGTTCATCATGGAATGTTGGATTTTGATGAACAGAGGCTCTGGATAGACGAACCAGAGGTTATGGGTTATCATTTTAAACCCTTGGAATAAAATTATACCCTTTTAGAAGGACCAGAGGGGCTATGGTTGAATGCAAGGGATAAAATACTCTATTAATGTAGCATTTTTGGGATCCAGAGGCTTTTGGTGGGAAAATGCAAACTTAAAAGACCAAGGTAGTGAACTAGAGGGTCTCTGGTTGAATTGGGATGTACAACCAGAGGGATGATAGGTCCAATTTGGATCCTTAATGATGAATGGGAAATGCATGACTCCCCCTCAAATGATGCAAGGGAATGTACAATGAGTAAAAACTCCCCCTGGTACCAATAAGGGAGGAAAGTATGATGACCAGAAGCTTTGGTCTATACAATCAGAGGCTCTGGTTGTGAATGATGAGTGATATGAAAATGAATGATGATGAGAATGGGGGGTCTATGGGACCAGAGGGTCTTTGGTTCCCAAGACTCAAAATCCAGAGGCTCTAGGTGCTTGAATGATATGAAATGCAAGGGTAATGCAAGGAAAAAAGATAACTTATGAGGACCAAGTTGGACCAGAGGGGCTCTGGTCTCTGGTTGCAAAACGAATGAAAAAACTAAGTTAAATGCATGGCTAAACGAATGAGGGGAGACCAAGTTGGACCAGAGGGGCTCTAGTCTCAAAGACTTGGAATCCAGAGGCTATGGTCTATAGAACCAGAGGCTCTGGATGGGAAAGAGTATACTTAGTGAAAAACACCAAGCATTTTCTTTGGACCAGAGGGGCTCTGGTTCCAAAGAGAAGAAATTTTGGCCAAATATAAACAAGTATTTCTAATTGTCCAGAGGTTCTGGTCTTTAGAACCAGAGGCTCTGGTTTAGAGTACTTGGTTATCTGGCCATTTAAATATATCACTTTAGTCATAACCTAGAGATATTGAGAATCTCTAGTTGGAAAAGATAATTTGCCTCTAAGTGGTGAGATTCATCATACCCATCTTACTGACAAGAAACATAAATATTTTCTCATCTAGTGTTTTTGTAAAAATGTCAGCAAGTTGAATCTCTATTGGAACAAAGTACATCTCTATTGTTCCCTTCTCTATATGATCTTTAAGAAAATGGTACCTGACATCAATGTCCTTGGTCTTGGAGTGCTGCATAGGATTTGCAGAGATGTCTATGGCACTTTTGGAGTCACAGAGGATAGGGATCTTTTCATATTGAAACCCATAATCCTTAAGCTGGGTCTTCATCCATAGCACTTGTGAACAACAACTAGCAGCAGCAACATATTTTGCTTCTGCTGTAGATGTTGAGACATAATTCTGTATTGAAACCCATAATCCTTCAGCTGGGTCTTCATCCAGAGCACTTGTGAACAACAACTAGCAGCAGCAACATATTTTGCTTCTACTGTAGATGTTGAGACATAATTCTGTTTATAGGATGTCCAACTAACCCAGCTTGTTCCCCAAAAGTTGACAGCTTCCAGACGTACTCTTTCTATCAAGCTTGCAACCTGCATGATCTACATCTGTATAGGCTATTAGATCAAAGCCAGAGTTCTATGGATACCAAAGACCCAATGAAGGGGTTCCCTTAAGGTATCTAAAGATCCTCGTGACTGCAGAGAGATGAGATTCTTTAGGATTAGCTTGATATCTTGCACAAAGACATGTAGCAAACATAATATCTGGCCTATTAGCTGTTAGATACAGGAGTGATCCAATCATGCCTCTATAGGTTGTTACATCCACATCTTTGCCTGATGGATCAGCAAACAACTTAGCTCATGTAGCCATTGGTGTTCTCATCGTTGATGAATTTGAGAGATTGTATTTATTTAGAAGGTCAGTCACATATTTGGATGATTGATAAAAATTCCTTCTAAATATTGTTTTATTTGAAGACCAACGAAGAAACTGAGTTCTCCCATCATACTCATCTCAAATTTTCTTTTCATCAGCTCTGTGAATTTTTCGCCAAATTTGGAGTTAGTAGAGCCAAATATGATGTCTTCCACATATATTTGGACAAGTAAAATATCACCTTTGTGCTTCTTAAGAAAGAGAGTTGTGTCGATGGTACCTTTTTCGAATCCATTATCTTTGAGGAAAATAGAGAGTGTATCATACCAGGCCCTCGGTGCTTGCTTCAGCCCATAGAGAGCTTTGTCCAGAAAATACACATAGTCTGGATTCTTAGGATTCTAGAATTCAGGGGGCTGCTGCACATAGACTTCCTCTTGGAGTTTGCCATTGAGGAAGGCAGACTTGTCATTCATCTAATAGACCTTGTGTGCTGCATAGGCAAGGAATATTCTGATTGCTTCAAGCCTAGCAACTGGAGCGAAGGTTTCATCGTAGTCTATTTCTTCTTCTTGGAAGTAGCCCTTGGCAACATGCCTCGCTTTGTTCCTCACTACAATGTCATCTTCATCCTTCTTGTTTCTAAAGACCCATTTGGTCCCAATGGTCGTTTTCCCTTTGGGTAGAGGCATAAGGGACCACACTTTGTTCTGCTCAAACTGGAGTAGCTCCTCTTGCATGGCGTTTATCCAGTTTGGATCTTGTAGGGCTTCAGTAATCTTCTTTGGTTCGATCATGCTTAGAAAGTTTGCGAAAAGGCATTCATTGGCAGTAGCAGATCTCGTCTTGACAAGGGATGATGGATCACCAATGATCTGGTGATGAGGATGGTCTTTTGTCCACTTGGTGCAAGATTGAGGTCCTGGAGCAACAGGATGCAGTTCTTCATCGGCTGATGGAACTGTTTGCTCCCCCTCAAAGAGATCATCTCCAGAGTGATGCTCTGGTTTTGAAGACACAGAAGAAATAGAGGGTGAAGTAACATGAGTTTCAATAAGAGTTGTACCTTCAGCATTGGAGATCTCATGTGTTTCATCGGCTCTGGAAGGAAGTTCTGCAATGGGCGCTTGTCCAGAGACTGCTTCTTCTTCAAAGATGTCTTCAAATAAGTGAGTCAACTCTGATTCACTGGGTTTGCATAATGATGAATCGGAGGCTCTTTTTGATAGCCCGAGTTCTGAACTGTTGTGACTAGAAGTCATTGGTGATGAATCATCAAAGGTCACATTGATGCTTTCTATGACGATCTTTGTCCTTCTGATGAATACTCTGTAGGCCTTGGCGGTTTGTGAATAACCCAGGAATATGCCTTGATCTGCCTTCTTGTCGAACTTGACAAGATATTCCTTGTCATTGAGTACAAAGAATTTGCACCCAAAGACATGGAAATATTTGACATTAGGACGTCGTTGGTTGATGAGTTCATATGGGGTCTTCTGGTGCCTCTTGTTGATGATAGAACGATTCTGAGTGAAGCATGCAGTGGAGATTACTTCAGCTCTCATCTGCCTTCTGTGTATGCCTTTGTGGTCGTTAACGAGAGCAATCGGCAGACCCAGTCTCTCTTGGAATCCTGAATATGCCAATAATTGTACTAATCCACACAATAGCGTACTCTTGAACTGAAAACTAGTCCAATGATGAATTAAAGTAGAGACCCGATATTTGTGTATTTTGATGCCCCCATCTTCAAAGGCAGAAGAAAAACATCATATTTTAATGATTTAGAAATGAATATCAGAAAAAGGATTGACGGATGGAAGGCCAGGTTTCTCTCTTTTGGTGGTAAGCTCACTCTCTTAAAATCATTCAGATCAAGTCGGTTCAGCGAGGGCGACCGCGAAAGTCACCGAAGGGGTCAGTCTTTTCCTTCACCCCAGATTCAAAAAAA